CAACGTGTTTGAGCCCGCTGCCGAACATAGGCTTATGGGGTCGATGTTCTGTCCTATTCAATTAAGTTATAATTTTTGTTCAAAAGGTTTCCTACCCTTTGCTTAATTTTAACAAAATCGCAAAATTTTAACTATCACGGAACTTAAGCAGGTGGCGGCGTTGCACATAAAAATTACACAAGACATTTTTATTAAAGCCCAACGGAGCACTACGTGCTGTTTCTTTTCTAACGCCGAAGCACCGTATACAAAAGCTTTTAATATTTACCAATATTTACCTCGAACATTTTATCACCCTCCCTGTCTGCAGCACTGGGGTTGGCCTGAAAATTTGATGGATAACATATTGCTATCGGGATGTCAATAACGGAACTAAATTGATAGAGCACGTAGGATACAGGCTTCATTGTGTAAAGTTAATATCGGCGAAGTTCGGTGTACTGTTAGCATGTTTAGACAATGCACGCTTCAGGGCTATGTTTGCAACGTTCTAAATAGCGATTAGAGATGCTTCCTTTTAGTGCTAACCTCACTCAAAAGCCATATAATTGGTATGCCAATCAAACTCAATGAATCTGTTGTATGATTGTGCATGTGTGCTCAGCAGTTACGTACTTTTTTTACCAGAAGTTAGTGAAGAGAACAGATATAATATAGAGTCAGATTGCGTGATTACTCAGCTACTGCTAGGGCGCCGCACTTTGTGGGTTCCATTCCTAAAGGACTAGTATTTATGTAAGTAGTTTGTTTTCTGTCTGGAAATAAATAATCCATGTGAAATTTATGTGTGTGAAAGTTATGTAGGTGACACAGCCCAATATTATCCTACAGCGGAAAAAAATCTTTGAATTTTGTCGTTGAAACAAATTTGCCATCGGTAACCGCATGGCGAAAAAACAAGCCGACTTCGGAGTTATATGAGAAAAAGTTACGAGACTAACAGTTTTTTTTAGCATTGCTAGCTATGATTGGATAGAACGATCAATTGATGAGCAGCAAATGATTTCAATTGATAAGGTGAAATATAACGAAGAGAACTAATGTAAATGACCGCCAAGCTAAAGTTATGGAATATGTATTTTTTTTTTGTTGTAGTTGAGCTTGTTATTTGGAAACTTATTATTTATTTGTAAGTTTATTTATTTATTACAACGTAGCCTGCCGTTGACCTGATGGTGACAAGTTGGTGAAGACAAGGAACGTTGCTGGCGTATTGCCAACCACTGAGAGTGTGGACCTGTTACCTCACTCATCGGACGAAGCCGTTTATGTAGATAGTATAGCTACTACTATGACTACTAGTAGTCTAGTTGGACCAACTTCTGAGAAGTTCTTTCCAAACATGTGCAGCCCTACACGACGCGTAGGGCTGTATCAAGCTCATTATGTCTAGCTATCTCACGAGTTCTGCGTTCGATAAAGCTTTAATAGACTACGGACCGGAAGCAAAAACATACATAAAGTATCAACATAATCGGTGAAATACTTCTTCACGCCAGTCTTCTCTGAAATCGTGGAAATGTAAGCATATACATTAATTGTAATTATTACGATACTTTCCTATGTAATCTTTTTCACACGGGCTGATCTTTCGGTCCCATTAAAAAGTTTAATATTATGTTCACGATTAACCTATTCATGTTCGTTTTCAAGTCAATATCAAAGTATCGACGTCAATCGGGGCACGTTTCAATTTTCATTCTTTATTGGAGGGCATTCGCTATCTGTAGATAATCCGTATCATCTGCTACCAAGGTAATTATTTAAAAGGGAGCTTGCATGTAAGCTTGTGCGCGTGTCGGACCCCTAATTGTTGCGTCGGATAACCAATAAGAGCTTATAGAAGGGCGACCACTTTTATTTCATATGTGGAACCACGTTAACCTTTGGCAATTCAAGTTTATCCCTTATAAAATTCGTATTCTGCAAAAGGTTATAAAATTATATTGAAAAAAATATTTTTTCAGTATATTACTAAAATATTAGAATGCTCTTTCATTTACATTTTAAATGAATTTTAAAACGGAATAAAATGGTAGCCAATATTCTACTTGCTCCGTTTAATTTGTTAATTAAAATAACTCTTCTAGAAAAAGATCAGTCGATATAGTTTAACATACTTATTTTATTTAGTTTATCTACATAGCTATATTAAGACTAGACATAATAAGAAACACTAACTAGGTTATTCTTAAATTTTTTCACTTTACTCTTTCTAATTCCAGGTCACCTTAAACGAGCGAGAGTTTGGCGCAAAGAAGAGATAAAAATATAAAGGATCACTTTCAAAAATTTCGTAAAAAAGGCATCAATTCCCGGTATACCCACGAGATACAACACGCATTGTGCCCCTAGCTGAGGCCTGCAACATAAATTATAAAGCGCAGGGTGCGTCATTGTTGCCCCTTACTCCTCAAAATGTATCAAACCACAGCGATTGACTGCGCCTCGGCCATGACGCATAGTTTTTGACGACTAGTCGTGTCAACTATATCGATATCATTACCCGAAATTGTAGTTCGAGGACGTCATTAAGGGCCGTGAGTCCAAAGAGTTATTTAAGACCATGTTGCTGTCTTTAAAGTACATTTGACAGTAATTTTTGATGGTTTCGACTTTTGCATTACTTAAAATCGGAAATAAGAATCAAATTTCAATTATATTATGTTGTCTTCGTTCATGTGTTGATTGTGCACGCAGCAAGTGATGTTGACACTTGCTGATACTTGACAGCAAATATCGACCATTCATTTGGTTCTACTTTAATATATGTTATTTTATCGATACTTAAGTCACATCTCTACTCTAGTAAGTGATGTTACACAACATTTGCGACATTGTTCACAAAACTGCGGGCGCAATTGTCCCCTTGCAGCCCCTCGCAAAGGATTACAATATAATAAGAACGCCGATTAATAAGCGTGAAGCTATACATAACAAATTTGTGTCGCTTCTGTACCAAGGTACCGAGATATCTCAACATAACACATACGAAAGAATACATCGTTCAAGATGGGTATGGTGTGTGTGCATTTGAATTTTAAAACGGTGTCTTTTATTAGTTCTGATCTCTGTCGCAGCTCACGAGGTGTTTAACGCTTATTCCTGATTGTAGATAACTTTGTATTTGCTACTGTGAAGCTACGTCAATGTTAATGTGTTCTTCCTTACCAAGAATGATTTAAAAGTCTATAAAAAGAAAGATAAAAGTGGCACATCTAAGATTTCGATCAAATTTTAGGGTAAGGTCTCTGTCAAACGCTACTAGAGTTGGGTTGTGAACATATTCTTTTATTTTTATACATAACATATACATTGGTTTCTTTTACGTAAAAGGAATATCAACTCAGCTAGAAAATAAAACAAACTACTCTTATAAAGACATTTATTTTTTTCATAAAAATGCGCAGTTCGGTTGGTACAAAGATTATTAAAAATCGACATTCTTAGAAAAGCTGAATAGTGAGAAGACATACATTAAGCCTTTTTTTAACTTCTTACGTAACTAACAAGCTTTTCAACATAGATTCTAAACAGATAGTGATATTTTTACGTAATTTGAAGATTTAAACACTAAAAAATATAAATGCAAATTTTTAATTTAATATATAGAAGTGAACTAGAGCTTCAGAAAGAAACCGAAATAACCATAAAAAGATAAAATTGTAAGTATACAGTAGCAAATTTCTAATCACCGTGTGATGTATTAATATCAAAGATATAGTTTACTCAAACTTTTTGTTCTCGTAGTTTTTAAAAAATCATACTTCTTATCTTATAAATGCGCAAATCACGTTGTATAATAGATCCACCAAATTACTAATTGGCGATATTAACGTTACAACGTAGCTAAAAGATATGAGAAATAAGGTATTATTTCCTTAGAAAACGTATAGACATATTATAATAAATTACATCAGAGAAATATTTCTAAAGGAAACCCGTTACATTTATCGATAAGATTACAAAACAGGAAATAACATTAAGTATACTAACTTATACGTCTACTGTGAAAAAAGACTTTGATACTGGATAACATAACTATGATATTCTATACATAGAGCAGAGATCTCAGTTCCGATTAAATATTCTATGTCAGTAATAATAGAGTTGGACATCATACTGATACTTGCAATGATCGTAGATGTTAAATTAAAATAAACTATTTACAAAACTATTTGTATACGGTATTTACAGTACTAGTTCTAAAATTGTGATTTTCTCAATGCTTAAGCTAATTTTTGTAACAAATGCCGCTGCCAAATAAGCCTCATCGAATATAATATATCTTTTTCTCTTGTAAATGTGTCATCAATTCACGCGATTCTTTTAATCGCAAAATTTGCGTTTTATCTAGTTATATAAGTTGTTGGGGTCATTTATAAATATTCGCAAACCCGTGACAAAATGACTGAGAATATATTCCGTATAAATATTATGTTTTTAAAATTCTTATTGCTTAAAAATGTATTAGAAGTTTGTGACAGTGAGAATATTGTGTAAAATAGTGTGATGCAGCTAGGTTTTCATAAATGTTGTGTTATTCAAAAAGATATCGAAAGAGGATGGAGCGTATGAGTGAGTATTTGCCACAATATGTGCAATAAATTCTGGGTCTTTTTAATACTATGTACATTTACTTATATTAAAAATACCCTCATGAAAATTATTCATATAGCTGAGAAGGCACGTTTTGTACCTCGTAAAGCAGGATAGTTTATCATTTCGATAATATTAGGTAGTTTAAATAAAATTATACAAAGTGATCGTTACACGGGTAGATCTAGGAATACAATAAAGCTGGTTACACACTTAGGAATAAAAATGACAATTCGTCTTTTGGCAGTGCCGAATACTGATCACGCTCGCCACAAACACACAAGCTTTAGTCGTTAACCAATAACGTATATCGATTATAAATATGTTTAACACTAATACCTCTTGCGTTCCGACAAGTTAGTAGATCTATGCGTCAAGCTGGGGCTGAGTAAGGTGCTTTAGACTGCGGAGTTCTTGCCGATGATGGTGCCACTTGTAGCGTAAACACGACGGCCGTCGAATTCGACGGACGAGTTGCGTTTTATTGCGTCTTCGCCCGTATCTTTTAGAGGCTCCTTCTCGTCTCTGCCGAATTGTTTAGTTCTCAATTAGAAAAAGTAATCAAGTCGTCACGTCAGCACGAGACATACGTCAAATTCGCGCTAACTTTGACAGGACCCGTAGTATAGCAACGAGATAGTTGTTGACCTCCAAAGTGGTGTCCACTATTTTACTAATTGATAATTATTTACTAATTTCTCTATTCAACAGTTCAGTATGTAACTTTAAAACTTTTTCAGGTTAAATAAAGACTAAATCTCTCTTTATATTCCTAGCATGATCAAAATTTTTTATCTATGTTTAAAACCGGCATTAACACTACAGATATAACTACATCGTGCGAAATCTATTGCAATCAAATTTTATCTCAAATTATTTTATCCAAAGTACACACACTGTTAAGTAATGTAGCCAAAAATTATATACACCAAACGCATATTATGTACAAGCAATAAACATAAAGCAGCGCAATACTGTTATACAAATAGAGCAACAAAAATAAAAAAGTAAATAAATGTGAACATATCTTACACTGGTGTGGTCGGGATATAGCTATACGACCAAATGCCGCGTGGAGGAAGAAAATATATCTTTATTAGTAAAGGAGTGCTTAGATGCAAACGTGATGTTATCAGACTGTACAAATAAATTTTCTCGATATGACAAACTCAACCAGGTCAAGAATGAACAGAAAAAAAAAATAGAAAAAGGGAACGTTACATTGCCGTAAGAGATGTTCCGGGCAATTTAACACGCTTCACAGACGAAATTCTCGCAAACCCGACGCCTGAGTTCACGTTTCCAAAATGGCGGAATTTTGAGCGTTTATTTTACCAGGCGCATTACTCAAACTACGCAATTAAAATAGCTGTCATACGATACCAAAATTCAAACCGGCAATATTTACAGAGGCTGTGACGCTAAGCTTAGTAGTCGTTCAGTTTAATATTTACAAAACGGCCGGCCTCAGCGAAAAGTCACGTTCAACATTTAAATATTAAGCTGTATTCTTCTTATTTATTTAAAAGTATTGCTCTTATCGTTCTTGATATTCAATTAGGGAGACTTTAATATACAAGAAATAAATAATTGCCAAAAGTTATATTTTAACTTTCGTCTCATAAAATTATTACAAGTGATGCTGTCGAATAAAACTTTTAAATATTTTGAAATAATTTTTTTTCGTATTCTTGATGTTTGAATTTTTAAATCAAATAAAATCACCATAAAATGGAAACGAGAACACATTTTACATCATGTCTGATCTTAGGTGTGCAATTTTCGACTGAATTAAAAAAAAAATTAAAGACGTCGACTTTCACAAAGGCCGTGCCGTATACAAACGAAGCATGCAGGCAATGTTTCATAGTGCCTTACGTTGGGGTCGGTACGAGCTTGACGGGCGGCGGCAGGGGCGCGGGGGAGGGCGGCGCGCGCGGCTTCATACTGCAATAAGGGAGCGGGAAGCGCCAACCGTACAGACTAGCGGGCAGAAACATCTCTCATCGACACTAACACTAAGACACGGGAAAACGGAAAGGGAGTCCAGGGGCAATGTTGATAAAAACAAGAAGGGAAAACTCTATATTCGAATGTCGATGATGGATAAATGAAATCGGTCGTAGTAATAGAACGGATTAATTGATATATCTCACCTTCCCAATTTCGCCTCGTCCTCCTTGTGCTTTTTAGCCCGCTTCCCACAAATCGTGGCGATAACGCCTTGCCTTCTGAAGCAAAACAGCAACAGATCCACAATTATGAGGCAGATGAATACGCCGGCTAGTGCCACACCAATGATCGTGCCACTTGAAAGGAGCTGGGGTGGGGCAAATCCAGAGCGTTCCACACCTGTTGAATTGGCCACATATTAGAACCGGTAAAGAAAGTATAAGCAAGAGCAGTAGACAGACTTTACTACGTCAATTTGATTGGTAATGTTAAATTGACTTTATACCATGTCAATGTTTACTGCTCTTTCGCTTGTTAGTGAAATGCGTTGTAGTTGTTAATGTTAGATGTCATGGTAGCGACTGCAATATATACGATGTTTGCGCCAGTGCAAAGGGTATGCAAGTGATTTTCTTATAGTCTGCAATTCTTACTAAGCATTACTCATATCATTCACAATTAATTCTATGGTGAACATAGAGTGCTTTCAATTCAATAAAACGTGCACCCAATCACCGATAGAAAATGAAAATAGACAACAGACGCAAAGGGGAGTACAAGAATTTGCTTTGTAGAAAGCGCTCGGTCGGTGTGAAATGGGGTTTGAATGAGACTGAAGTTATGATGAATGATGATTGCGAAAGTCTATGAGGTCTATGATGCACGAACATGAGCCTTAGAATTAATAATTAATTTAACAAAGAAAAGTTGTCAAGATGCGAACATTCCAAATAAACTAACTGTTGAATGCAAAATAAACATTTCAAACCCCATGACAAAATCATTTCGGTTTATAATAAGCGAATCTACAATATTGTTATTAATTTTTATATGATAACATACGATACATTAAAATAAAGTAAGTTACTAAAGACCATAACCTCTGTTTTGAAATAATGTAACCTTTATAAATCTAAGTTTTGTGATGTAGACTGTTTAAAGACGCAAACAAGTATATGTTACACATTACATATATTTGAAAGTAAAAGAAAATTCATAATAACAATCTAAATCACAGTTTTCCACATTAATCTGACACAGAACAAAACCTTAATTGAAACGACCAAATCAGGAAAATTTATAAATTGGGCCAATGTTTTGTAAGTAAAAATTTTGAATTCCAAAATACAATTTGGAGTATTTATTTCATTTGGCAGTTTCCATGATGTGTAAAAAAATTTGATGCTTTAGACTACTTAATATGGCTATGTATCAAGGGAACCAAAATCAAACAAAATACACAATAACGTGATGTCATCTAAAATGACATTTCTAGACACAATGTAAAATATTATAAGGAATCGAATAAATAATGCATTAATAATTCTAGACAATTAACCATGCTGATGGGATTGACAGATCTTTTAGTGATGTGACATGAAAGGACCACAACCCAGCAAGAAGTTCATGCAGTATAGTAATTAGTTCATTCTGAAGAATATTCAAATAGCAGGTATAAACTCTACTAAACATATTAATATAAAATATATTTACCTAATGTCAGTCAGGGCGACACAAACACACTTGTCAAATCAAAGGGGACTTTGGATTGGTCTCTTGATAAGCATCTTGACAGCTTTCTTTTTTTTTTACTTTGTACATATTTTACATTTTGTATATTTATGTAATAAAAAAAATGTATACAGTTTTAGAATTGTGTAGGGGTTTGTGGGTAAAAATGAATGAAGTTGATTTTCTTTTGCCAATAAATTGAGTAAAGACGTTTAATTTTTTGTACTACCTTCATTCACTTTATGGATGTAACTCATAAATAACTTGATTCGTTTTAGAAACATTTATTTTTCACATTGGTCGTGTTCTCGATCTAGTCACAATTCCAAAAGTTTCCGTTGAGCTTTCTTACTTTACTTGCTTCATGATTTCGGGACCAGTAGTGACATCCCGAGGTTTACAGGACAAACTCTTTAATCTGGACGATTATTTTTACAATTAGCTAATTTAATCTAACTTTTATTCGAAGGAATAAAATAGTCGTCAAAAATTCGCACACAAGTGTGCTCTAACTACACCTGTTTTAACTTTAGTACTAAATGCGATCATACATTTTGGCAGTGTATTAATACCGATTTATGTTCTACATAAAAAGTTAACATACATACTTATACAAAGAGTGTTTAGGGATCATTACAACTTTAGTAAAGCCCAGATAGAAATTTTAATTTAATTCAATAAAATTTGAAATGTTCGACAATAATCATTATAAAAATGTATGCTACATGAGCTTCAAAGGCTTAAGGTGCATCATTAAATGATATTTTCGTTAAAAACACAAGGGATAGTCATACTTATATTTATACATGAACAAATGGTTTTATCACAAAAATTATTCCTAATTAACAGTCGTCTTTGGACTTAAATAGTTTACTTGAATATTATTTTATTATTTTAATAGGTTTTTATTTATATTGCGAAATATAAAATCAGAAGCGTAGTTAACACGTCCAATTTAGATGGAGCCCATTGGAATGTGCTTGTACTTCCATTTGGGTTACCTAAAAACATTACCATACTATAAATCTTACACGCAGAATTAAACAACTTCATTCCTATGCCAATGAAATTAAAGTGAACGTAAGAGCAAAATGAAACTTACCGGATATTAGAAAATAACACCAACATAAATAAATTAAATTTAAAAATGCTTAGTAATCTTGAATGTTTTAAAAATAAACTTAGTCATGCACTGAAAACTAACGTCTATACAGATTATTGACGCACATAGTACTGCATTTATAAACTTAATAAATAAACAGGTGATAAATAAAGAAAAGTTTAAGGATAAAGTTTTGTGAACCGTGATAGAATATGTTTCTATTATTAGTGATAAATGTTTCGAATGTAGCGTCTGTTACTAATGGGAATCAGTAAGATGAAAAGTGAAAAACATTTACATGATTTTTACATGATGTATAAAAAACTTAATCCAATATTACAAAAAGGTAAGAATTATACAAAAGTTTACTTAATTTAACATAAAATTGTACTTATACAAAAAAACATAACACAAAATAGGAGGGTTATCTTGTAATCATTCGCATTTAGAACAGAGTTAATAGCAACTACAAACACTAACACACAAGAGTCACATAATTAAATCAGAAAAACAAACAAACGAGGTGGGAAATGAACAGAACTGAAACATATGAGGTGGCGACGGTTGACGTTGACTGCGTATCGGCATAGACGTTGTAGAAGCCAGCCTTGTGGGGTTTGATATTTTCTGTGCTGTACTCACCGAGGGCAGTCTGGACATAGAGTTGAGCGGGTAAGGAGTAACCCAACACGTTGTGAGCACGGACTTGCATTCTATAGCGGGTGTCAGGATTCAACCCTCGGACCTCGTAACTGATTGCCTCATACGACTTTAGCTCTTCCACAACGCATTCAGAATCTGAGGCTACTCTCCATTCACCGCTTACTTTTAATACCTATAAGCATAAACAGAAAATGAAGCTTTTGTAGACAAAAGTTATAAAAGGTTAAAGGTAAAACTACTTACTAGGCAGTAGCTAACTTCATACATATCGATGGGTTCACCATTATGGGCTGGAATTTTCCATTGCAGTTCAAATCTATCTGCAAATTTGCCGTGAATTAGGGATTCTGAGCTTATAGCCTCCCTCCATTTTGGTTGCTCCGGTGGAGACCTAAGAGACAATTTAATTATATTTCAAGGTTTTTTTTTATATTTTAACATTCACTGGATAAAATCTTTACCTTCTGGGCATGACAACTGTTATAGGAGCACCCCAACTACCAGCTCCAACTTGGTTGACAGCAGCAAATCTAAAGTCATATGTGAACATAGGCATAAGGTTTTCGACGATGTACGGTGAATTGACAGACCAAGTCCGATTCATAGCCAGATTCCAGTCGAAATTTCCGTTTTCTTTGTACTGAGCTGTGAAAGCAAGCGTTGGCGGATTCATGTCTTCAGCTGGTCCAACAATGTTAAATGACACCGAAGTAGCTGTAATTGTTTCTTGTTTAACCTGAAAATGTAAGGAAGTGTGTTTGTTTTTATTTATATTAATACTTCAAAAATTTTGGTTTTTCAGTTTTTGTCTAAGAATGAATACATATGGTTTAGACGCAACTAAATATTTATTTTTATTACGTATATAAGAGGTTTTGTTGATTAGAATTTGCCTAGGTTTTGCTTACTAATTTAAAGGTTTATATAACTACAGTTTTAACAAGAAGTTTTAAAAGAGAATAACAGCTCGTCGACTTGAATGTTGTATTTGTCGACCTGACTTCTCAAATTATAAGTAAATTTCACTTTTACCTGCAAAACTGGGCCAGGTGGGAACGCTTCTCTTAATTGTATGGTATGTTCTGCTTCACCGAGTGTATTCGTGGCAATGCATTTGTAAATTCCATACAAACTACGATCAGCCGGAATAACAGTAACGTAGCTAATCGGTCCAGAGCCATAAATCTTCACATGTTGAGATTCAATCAAATCATACTCGTGAAACCTAAAGACAAGTTGTAGGAATAAACAAATAATATTAAAGAGTATGAGTGAGTAGCTTTAATAAATTAAAACCCAAATTATTTACTCACTTCCATTTAATAGTAGCGTTGGGAATACTTTCCGCTATGCAGCTAATGTTAACCGGTTGGCTGTTCCAGCTCCAGATTGGAACGTTAGACATATGGTCGAATGAAGGCCTGAATTGAACTGTTAAATGACCGTTTTTTCTAGCTTGTCCGCCTTTAAAAAATCAAAATATGAAATAAGTATTAATGTTAAAACACAACAGTAAAACTAAGTATAATATTTCCGAACATACCCTCGTTTTCAGCAACACATTCATACAATCCGTCGTCAGTTCGGTTCAGTCTGAATATAGAAATAGCGGCAGTTGATTGCATTTGATCACCTGTCTGATGGCTGGTACTCTCGACTATAATTCTGCAAATAAACAGGTAATTAACCTTTACCTAATCGAGATGTAAAAATAAATATTTCAGTTGGGTTCTCAAGGATTCGGGCATATTTATAAAACTATTTTAAGTAAAAAATGGTTTCGTCAGTGGTTAGTTACGACAAAATATATTAATAGATTGTACAACAAGCTTATCATACCTTCCTTCGTCGTTTGGTCCATTTAAAAATGGTTCGTTGTTGCTTAGTTTTCTGAACGTTATACGAGGAGCAGGTCTACCGGTAGCCTTGCACTCCAACCGGCCGTCACTCTTTTCCGCAGCAGTCGTGTTGTACAGCTCGAATATTTTAGGTGGTACCAAGACTTCCACTTCAATCTCCGTTTCATTTTGCCCGGCTTGATTAACAGCACTACAGATATATTTTCCGTAATCGCCAGCTTCCACTCTATCAATGGTTAGTAAGCCTGTATTGTCATTTACGCTGTATCTTGACGTAGTTGCCAAATTCTGAAGCAATAATTTTATTTAGTGGTGTTGCAAAAAAAATTAAACGGTGGAATTAAGGATTGGAAATTACCTCTCGTGTATTTGCCTTTATCCAAGTATATGTTGGAGGTGGTTTACCTCTTGCTTTGCACGTAATCGCTGCTGATTCTCCTTCTTTAATTTCGACCCGTGGTTCACGCTCTTCCATTTCAGGAGCGGTGTACACCTAATCAGAATAGAAAATTATGTTATTGGAATTATGTTATCTACAGATAGCACACATTTGTGTTTCTAGCAATATTAAGGCCATTACCTCTAATTTGATGTTCCTTTCAGCAAGTTCACCGGTCTGTATTACAACCGCACGACAAGTATAAGTTCCATCATCGCTTTCTTCAACATTTTTAATTAACAGCCCATTCGCGTGAATAACATACCTATCGGATGTTACAATCTATAACGGGGAAGAAACATTTAATTACAGATTTAATTATAAGTTCTTTACACAAAAATGTAACAAGTTGTTTACTCACGGTTGTTCCTTCTTTAAACCAGTCAACAGTAGGTGCAGGCTCGGCGGTAACTTCGCACATGATTTTAAAATCCTTTCCCTTAGTGGCAAATTGGTTCTCATTCGCATTGACCCATGTTATAGCAACTAAAACAAGTAACAAGTGTCAACAATCGTATTATCTCGATTCATACGTCAATCAAGAAATATACTAACTCATATATGAGATTCAAACCTCATCTGTAACTATGAGATGGTTTTGTTGTTCCATTTATGGTACAAATCAAATTACCGGTTAACTTACGCAAAGCCGATTAAGTGGTTCTTAGCTGACTAATAATTAAAAGCAATAAATATTGTATTTCCATACCGAAAGTGTCCAAAATAACGCTGGCGCTGAGCGGCATGTTGGTGTAGGTCGCGACACAAGTGTAATTGCCTGCCATTGCGGGAGTGATAGACGATATGTACAACAGTTGTGACTGTTTCGCTGGGATGGCTTCCGTGTAGATTTCGGGTCTTGTTCCAGGGCTGTTTGAAATCAATCAATTAAAATCAACGCATTGCATGCCAAGTCTGAATGATTGGTTCTATATTTTAAAATGTAGAAATATCTTAACTTCACTAAAAGTCAAACAGTACATCAAATTAAACCAGTTAGAGACAATCATTAAAATGAAAAAAAATGTATATTATTTGGAATTTTCTGCCATTGTCTTTAAAAGCATTAAATTTTTCATTAACATGACTACCTTGACCTGCTTAAAGCTAACAGCCATTAATGATATTTCAAAGTAATAATGAAATGGCAAATTTATTTCAATTATAATACTTTCATAAGTTACTTACGCGGCTTCATTAATGACAAATCCCTTAGGGTCTTTCCATTGCGGTTGTGTGACTAGAGCGGGGTCCATAGTTTCAGCCTGGCAAGTCAGCACCACGGACTTGCCCACGGCGACGGTCTGCTGTTTCTGCATCGGATATATCCTCAGGATTTGCGATGAACATCCTGAGAAGAAAAAAAACCAATTAGTATTGAATAAATGAATGAACATGATGCACACCAAAAATATAATAAATAAAAACCAGAACTTAATGTGGAAGTGATGGGTACAATCGGCGGCCTAATTACTAAAAGTATGTTTTTCGTGGCCACCTTTACCTTTACCAGTATTCTTTCATAAACTACGTATACATCGTTATACCTAATTTATTTTCATGTACACACTAATTTTTACAAACATCTACAAATTTTGAAATATTTATGGTACTAATTCTTCATACATCTGCTTGTTTGATTATTTTTTACATATATTGAACTAAAGTATAGCCTATACATTTGCTACTTCTTGGGAAAGACCTCTGTACAAAGGGTATCAGGGCATAGTCCACCACGCGACACAAGTGCGTATTGGCGGACTTTACATATCTTCGAAATAAGTATTTTTGTTATTATTTCGAAAATATGCAGGTTTCCTCACGATGTTTTCCTTCAGCGCTGAGCAAGTTATAAATCAGCACTTAACTGATCGAACTAAGGTTGCTTGACTATATTGAATTCAAGGTGAAAATCCGGACACTGAGCTATCACGGCTCTTTTATTATTTATATGAACTGAAAAAATAGACTGAAAATAAATACATTATTACAAAGAAGTGAAATTAATAATTGTAGCACAATATAGAATTATTGGTTACAAATCCATTAAAAAGTGACCAACGTTGTAATTCGTAGTTTATTTAAAAATCTTGTTGTGAAACGTTTCAGCTCAAACATTAAACAAAAGCTTTAGGGAGCGCGGACCACAAAGCTTTTGGCTACGCAATTCTTTAATTAAGTTTACCGCAATTTATTCTGTGGCACGTGACTGAACTGCGCATGTTTTGGACTTTTTATCAAGATCGCTTTTAGCAAAATTTTTGTAACGAAGATGATTGCGTCGTGAACCTGATTTTATTTAGGTTGTATTTAATTTAAGAACAATATTACTTTTTAGACTAACGACATTTACTCGCTTGTTATTTTGAGTTGTGTTGACATTAAAATGGTTTTAAGATCTGACGAGAGTTTAAACGAGTTAGTCTTTATTAACACCGAGTACATAAAAAAGGAATCTTATTATTTTTAAAAAGACATATAACATTTAAGTAAAAGTGGTCACTTTTGAAGAGCGTGTTTCTGAAGGTTGGTAGATAGGGAATCCCCGCTTATGTTTGAAAGGTAACTCGAGCGCCCTCGAGTCTATTCACGCGCGTATCTCTTCTTTACCAGGATTTTGAAGCCTCAGACCGCTGCATGAATAAGGATCTCTTTTGAATTTTGTTAAGGCATAAATTTATTTTCTTACACAAAGCGTTGCCATTTATAGCCGCCTTATTTTTTTTCGATACCACGACTTTTCGCAAATATTATTTGGCTACGCGTACATATTTATTCACAGGGTTAGTAATTCTCATATTTAGGTTTTAGTCTTATAATTTATTTTGTTCATGAAGAGTTTCTATCGACACAAATGCTACAAGTGGATTAATATTAGGAAGTACAATAATATCTTGAGAACCCCCAGGATAGACTTGTTTAAAACAGTGTCGACAAGCTTAAGACAGAATTCCTGAAATTATTTTCCGAGAATACCTAATTACTCACCAAAATCCAAATCACAGATTGTTTTTATTTATTTTAACTGTTTTCATCAGTTCTATTGTCATATAGATTTCTTGTTCTCCCCGCTTCCTTGTAAAAACTTGAAAGAGTTAGTAGTTAGTCCATGTAATTTCATATGTTGTCGAATCATAACTAAATTTATTGCACTGTTTAGTTAATTTTTTTGATATTTATTAACATTGTTATACTTTTGTTACACTTTAATTTTGTAACAAACAACTTTTTCTTCACTATATAATTCTGAATACCATCAGCGCCTTTGAGTGTAATGACAGTAATGAATAGTTGATGTATATTTAATTTCTTTAGTTTTAAGTATTGTACATTATGTTGGCGTTGACTTTGAAGACAAGTCTACTCAAAACTGAAGAAATGTAAAAAGTCTTTTAATTGATTAAATAGGAGTTACATGGATATAAAGGATAGTAAAATCTATATTATGTCTAATTGAAAACCCAACAAACAGGGAAACGTTATTTTTATAACTTTAGATTTTCTCTTACTATTGTGCACCCATAACAAAAAAAATTTTGAAATACGTGTACATACATTTATGCGATGTAATAGAAGCATACTGCTTTTTACTTCATAAGAATGCAGTTCACGTCTTCGGTGTCAGACCCTACTTCATCCTCTCGTTTTCAACATCTGCGTCGACTGCCTTTTAAAAGGAACAATTTTGCTTGTAACTTTTGAAGTATTTCATAAATACGGAAAAAAGCAAAGCTTATGTTTTTAAAAGTAGCGCAGTTTTATATCTGAATGTTCCATCAACGATTTGATGAATGAAAGAAAAGTGAATAAAAATTTAAATCTATTTAGGTCCAAAGACAGAACCTTAAAAAAGTTTGTCGATAAAAATTCTTTTATGAATGCGGTATGTAGATAGTTTTATTGTAAAGACATAACGACTTGATGTATATAAGATTATTTTTCGTTAAAGACAAATATATTATGTTAGCTCATATTTGCATCAAAACCAACGTTCACTAGAAGATGTCATAATTGGGTTTCAATCGTTTTGTAAATGAAAGAGAGTATGAATAGCAAAAACAAGGGACTGAATTTGGTCGTATCTTTAGGACCACCGAAATTACATTGACTGGCAAGGGGAGAGGAGCTAGGGGCTATTGAGGGGACAAGTGAAATGAGCGAGCGGTGGATTAAAGGGTTTGAGAAAATTCGTACGCTTTGTCCCCATGCGGTTTTGAATTACCAATTACTTTCATTTACTTCGTAACGAGGTCTTTCAGTGAACTTGTGGGCGCACGCTGTCGATAAACATCGATATGAATCAGAATTATTGAAACTACTATTCAGAAAATTGTAAATAAATCTGTCAATTGAAAATGCTCTGTACATAACCCATTTTTCTCATGGACGCACTAACATTATAATTTGCTGATCAAAAAAAAAATATCCTAATAAGTTTAACTTTTTATTGTGAAAAGAGTGGTTCTTTTGGCATGTAAATCGGAGTGATTCTGCATCACAATTTCTGTATTCGATGCACAATTACATAAACTTACACATTCATTTTCGTCATTTTACCACCAAGACAAAAAAAAAGAAAGATTACCTGACCAAAAACATTTATGCCGACTTTCAGGATTTTCGGATGGACATATTTATAATACAATAGTTTCATATGTGTATATTTGGAGATTTTTGGAAGTATTTAGGTGTATCCGATTAACACAAATTATACCATGAACATCCATTAGCATTGCATCATTCATCGTAGATTTACCTTTTATTCATAATAGCAATAGAGATATTTATTACACTCATGTATCGATCGTTAGCTATTAAGGACACGTACAAAGCGTAACTTGTACACGTTAGAAAATAACCGGTACATTCCGGTTTTTACCTTCCCCGTTTTTTACCCTTACGCGCGCCGTTCAATCTCACCTTTGACCTTTACAACACTGAGCGAATAGTAGTAATACGGCGGAGTGAAACGAAGCAGAACGCTTTCGGGTCCAGTGGAGACGTCCCTAGCCCGCGTCCCGTCGCAAATCAGCCTCTAGAGCGATCGTCGGGTATAAAACAGATACTGTAGCGACTCGCCCGCTCGTTGGGTCGCTGCCGTGATTAATTGCTTAGACATTATTTTCTAATTAAGCCTGCCCCCACCGCTACGCCCTGCGGCGTTGTCGTCTTTGGGGAAAGGCCTAAAGATCGAATGAAGTGAATACACGAGAGTTGCCACCGCCTACGCGTTTTATCGTGTAATGCATAGCTTTGTGAATTGGCGTAATTTTTATATTATAAAGAAATCAGTCTCGCCGTTGGGTATTCTTGGTCTGTTGACGTATGAGACTAATATGTTTTTTTATATATTAGTCTCGATTGGGACATAGCACTGTATAGACACAAAGTACGAAATTAATTGTTTCTATGTATTTAAACTTAACATATAAAAAAATAACCCTATGGTGCAATCTCGTCAAACAAACCTTAAAGGAAATAGATTACAGTTCACCCTATTTGACAGAGCACAACGATCACGAAAATTTGGTAATTGAGGGAAATGAGATAAATTACTCTTGCGGACTGTTTATTCGAGGGGTACGGGAGTTATCGGAAGAGGTAAAACGATGTGTATAATGCATTTGTTTGAATTTACCCAAATGTTCGCGTACCCTGTCTACTTAAATAAAAGCCAAATCAGAGTTAATATAAGAATATACAAAGCATAAACTCGATGAGAGCAAATACAAAACTTTTGTATTTTTACTATATATTTTTTTTATCCAAATTTGATTTTTACTATATTAAAAAAGATTACTTTCTTGATTGTTTGTTGTATTTACGCGATTACACATTATAAATATATAAACGCGATAAATCCGGAAAAAATAGTTTCATTTACTTTAAATTAATAAAGTCACTTCCTAGTAATTTGCCATGTCAAGGATATATTCTTTTTAACTCTTACTCTTATTACATACTGTAGCTATTAGATAGCGTGTGTCGTACACGAGTAATATTCATTACATCGTGGCATATTCGCCACCAGCATCTAATAGGCATACATTCTCTTAATCTTGTAATTGCCCTTTCGAAGTTGCTAAGTAAATTTTGCAATAAACAAACCTTAACGATACATTACTGGCTCTTCGGCGACCAGGTGTTTTAGTTCTTAGGATAACCATTAATGGACCTATTACAGGTAATGAAAACCATTACACGAGTAACGATAAATTTTCATTCTTAGACTTTGCCGCTTCGTGTATTCGCATTGCCCCTGCTCCCCCGGCTTTCATTATCAGTTTAGCGTTAGGGACCCTTTTAGCGGAAAGGGAAAAAACAGAAAAAAGAAAGCTCCATGCGAAATTTAGCTAAGCACAGGGGCGTAACGAAGTGTAGCCCACTTAAAACAATAGCCAACTGCGGGGGTCGAACGTCTTCAGCATTGCCAATGTTTAGGAGTGTAGAGCACTTAAAACCCGCTGATTTCGTACTATTTTTATGGGAGCATCCCGGTACGGCTTATTGCGCGCGATATTTATTAGCTCCCTAGGGCGAAGTGAACTATGCTTGAATTTTTTATAATGAACATTTTCTTTTCTCCTCGTATTTATAAGTCATGAAATAGAAATAAATGAAACGTTAATAGGTTTCCCATTCTACCCAATAGAGTTTAACGCCGAAGTAGTAGGGAGGCGCTTATGGTAAATATTAACTCCGTCTTGCCTAAGATGATCAGATGCCTGATAAGTTACGAATATCACTGTGCCTAAAGCCGAGAATAGCTGTTAAATTTATCCAATTACACCCCTGACTATCCTGGCAGACCATTAATTACGGCTTGACGCCTACCGGGCCAGGACCCAGTAAGCCTACTCCACAGTTTATAGCCCGCGAACAAACCGACATTTCGGGCCGCGTTTGTTTATTGCTCTCCCTTGCCAATTCCTCCGAACATTTGTAGCTTTTAGTGAAGTTTTGGAAGTGTTGTTTAGCAAACTTGAGCGATAGTCTCAATGTACTAGGAATACGCGGAAATAAGTGAAAGCAATTCAGACGTCATATTAACAAGAAACATACCAGTCACATTAATTACCGCTTTAATTTTTTAATAATTTATTCTCTCTTAAAGATCTTATTCAAGAATCCCTAAAACAAGAAGCGCTAAGGAGCCCGGAAGATCTAGGTAAGTAGGTTCTGCTATACCAGGATCAGGACCATCTCTCTAACTATGACCGATGCGATTCGTTCTATTCATTCAGAAGTTAACTTACAGAATTGGTAACACATTGGTTAAATATGTAAGGAACGGTGCGAGTCAAATACTTGTGCAATAACTGACTAAATGATTAAGAGGTCTTTACATCATCACGTCCATGGATGTATGATCTTGTCATCTTCGTGCACACACTTTCACAGTGCAAGCACAATCGATGCAGATCACGATAAATGATATAAAACTATAACGCTCTAAGACTTCCTTGTACTTTTTTATGTGAGACAGTGGCAAACGAGCTGGTGGTTAAATGATAACCGCCGCCCATAGACATGGGGTTGTAAATGCGATGCCACCATTAAATAAAGTGGCAACTTCATAAATAAATATTATAATTTAATACGAAGAGCTTCTGTGAGCCCACGTGGATTTTAATATAATTCAAAAGTATATAATACCAATGAAACAAAATAAACCTATACACATACCTGAACAATTTCAAATCATAATATTAGTATAAATTATTTATTCTTCCCTCAAAATTCCTTTATGAGTTCTTTCATATTTTAAAGTACAGCAAACTGATCTTTTTAGTATTTTAGATGTACTTTGGCAGAACCACGAAATAGTCCTCACTGTTGCACGAATGGGCAGGTCCGTCCATATATGTACCACGACCTCTCAGAAGACTGGCGTGAAATGGAAGTATTATAATTCTACGTTTCGTCTGGTGTGTGAAGTAGCCGGGGCCCACTTTATTAAAAGGTAGCAACGCATCTGCAACCCTTCGGGTGTTAGCGGCCCAATGGGCGATGGTTATGACTTATCATCAGGTGAACTGCCAGCTCGTTTGCCACCTTGTCAAATAAAAAAATAGGTCATTCATAATAGAGAATATGAATTTAATTTGTTAAACCCACAGGCGTGTTTGTTCTCTCATTATCCTAATAGTGATCAACCACTAGCGACTGGTCAAGGTTAATAGTTTGTAGGTGTTTTCAAAGAACTACATAACCGCATAAATTCCGGTATACTTCTTAATTCGAGAGTTGGTGTTCTAAAGCCAGCGTACCAGCAGCAATCTTCGTTTGACATAAACCTTACTTTCCTAAGCAAAAGTAACCTTATTTAAGTTGTTGAAACTTTATACTTAAAGAATTCTACATAATTGTAAACATTGACGAATTCTGGAAAAAAAAAGGTCACTCGGAGTATGAAATTAACCTTGTCGAACAAATTAGATGGAAATGCAAATTAAAAGAAATTCCGAGGACAACATTCACCTCTGAAAGTTGCCCAAATTTCTTACAACAAAACAAAACTACAGCTAAATGCGTGTTATAATAAAGTCATATAGCGCTTTAAGTATCATTTTTCGCTTTTGAATGCATCGTTTCCACTTAATCTTACAATGGGATACGTGACTCAGGGACAATGTGCCTTACTGATAATTCCGGTCACATATTGTAACATCAATTTTAAAATATGATCAATTTATAAAATATATCGTGTATTTTATAAATCATATTACAAATATCATATCTATCCACCCTTAAAAGAAAGAAGTTAAGATAGTAGAAACCAGTAACCTTAAAAGACTTGGTAGTCATATCATATATTGTATGTCATAGCGTACTCTAAACTCTAGAGAACTTTATATAAGTTAAGTTACTTTTCCCTGCTTTGCTATATTTGGTCTTAAAATTGTAGTCCGTACCTACATAAAAGTATCCCCCTGTAATGTAATAGCCTCTACAAAACGTTTTAATGGCCAATATCAATACGTTGACCGACAACGTTTCCTCGAATTATTATTTCTATTACTGTAATAGATATAGATTAAAAAAGTTTCGTTCGCCACTAATCTCGTGGTAAACCAGCCTTAAAATTGCTAGTTTCCAGGATTTGAAGTAGCACAAGCTTTTAATTCACTTAACAATTAAGGTTAATTAAAAGTTCGTATCCTGGCACTAAGCTACCACGATGTGAGCCGTAAAGTGCGATATTAATGATTCAATTAAATGAGACAAAGAATCTATAAATGTCGTCATAGAGACCGGGTTCAATTTGTGAGACCGATCTAATAAATGTAATTCATTACACTCATCGCCTTTTAGAAAACTATTCTTGAGTGCTTGGTAATAATAAAATCAATACATGGATTCAATGAATTAAACAGTATGAGTCGTTGGTAACGTAGCTGCGGTCACTTAAGTTATCATAATTAAATTTCATAGCAAGGATTCGCGATCTACTAAATCAAATTTATCCACCACTTACTGCAAAGAGCGCCGCGAAAGAGATGCATTTAAATTTGAATACACAGCGAATTCTGCTATGCAGTTTTAGCTTAAGTAAAAGTTTATATTGTTCATAATATTTACTGCTGCAAGAGTGCTTTATGAAACGTGCCTGGACGTAGATGGGAGCGCTGCTATATTTTATTAAAATCTCTTGGAGCAATTCCTTTTTTCAGGGCGTTCGTTTTTCATAAGAACATTTTTTTCCAGAGATTTATAGTTATCAGCGTGTAACTGCATCCGAGCACTGCACGGAAAAGGTTTATAAGGTAAGTTCGATAAATTTTCACCAACGGGAACGTCTGGAAGATTGTGAACTTATGTGTCATCTGCCTTATTATTTATATAATTTTGCGTACCGTCCTAAGTATTTCGGATATGATTAAGGAAATGTGTATTTATAAAACAGAAAATTCACTAAAAAATCTCAATACAATAACATTTTTTTGCCGTTTTTATATAGGACTATAATATTATACTGTATATACCATACTAAACTACAATTTCAGAAGCCATAGAGCACCATAAGGCTTTCCATTCAGTGTTACGTGCCCTGCGTTTTATAACAAACTATTTTCCTCAAAAGTATAAAAACCTTAAATAATAAAATATGTTTATTTAAATTTTCTATAGGTATTTTACACCTTGGATATAACCAGAAACTGTTTGCATTTTAGAATAAATATAATAATTACAAGTATCTTTACCTAATACATAAACTTATATCTGCATAATATCATGAGTTATCCCACATTAAGTGTGTATAATGAAACAAATATATAAAAACATTATGTAAAATTTCTGCAAAATATCACACATAATAATAATATATTATCTAATGCAACAAAAATCTAATACACTTAACTTTGTCTATACCACTAATTTAACAATGCGGCATTCAAATTCAGTCAACTTCGTGCTATATTCAAAATTGCAATTGTAAATTTATTGCAACACTCAGTGGTCTCATCACGACAGAGCGGGTCCGTGATTTGTATTCCACACCTCTCGCCCTGCCATCCGTCTGGCCAGATTAATTATCAGCCGCGTCCCCTCCATGTTTGCCAATAAGGAAAATCCCTGTGACTTTTCAGCATAAATCTTTGATATTAAACTTGTCTCCTCTCTTATCCCGCTCATGACTGGAATTTTACTTAGAATGCGTCAATTTAGTGACGCGCTCAATGAAGGTTTTTATTAATACTAAGTTTTTATTATTAATCGTATAACTATCTGTGGGGAGGACTATGTCTAGCAGTGGACTAAAACAGGTGAAATGGTGATGATGATGATGGTGTATGGCCCAGAGTCTGTAATATTTTACAGGTGCAATTGACATATAGAACTTCAAGCTAGGCATTGATGCAATAGCCGCGTCACTTAAATGTTTTATTCCATTTTTCAATGAGCGAGGCTCAATATCATTCGGTAACCAAGCGATGTCTTAATCCAAATTATCGACATAGTGGAAACATCCTACCCGCGAAATTGAAACCGCTTCGGCTGAATTTAAAACACTCAAATTTGCTCCAGGTGACATGTATCCCCCCGCGTCTTAATCCAAACAAACGAAGGTTCGTTGTAGCGACTCTTACCCCCAAAGATGCGTAACGAAAGCCGATAGGAGAGGCTTCGATCACGCGCGTTGTTTGCGAAGTGTTTCGCAGACGAACTGGGGTGACAACGTACGTGCCGCGCCGCTCTGATAACTTATTACACCCGTACATGGCAAACATCGCAATATTTGTCGATATGTTTGTTTGCGCGTGGCAAGATCGCGCCGCGCTCGGGATTTGTGTTATAGAGGTAAATCCCGACTGAGTTGGCCAAACATAACGAGCTGCAAATAATAGGGCGCGAACGTTGCACGGCAAACAAGACAAGGCAAGTAGAGATGGCATACACGTGCGGAATACTCGTATGGCGACGTACGAGATGTAGACGCGGTGCCGTAATTTAACTGTGACGTGTGATGGCGCGTGTGAAGCTCCAGGGATGCACTGCACAGATGTCAGGAAATAAATGAAACATCTCAGGATCACTGGATGTTTTGGAAAATTTGTCTCGCGATTCTTCTACACTAACAGTCGAACTTGGGTTTTCGTAGATACCGTGAAAGATTTACATATTTTGCTGAGGTTTTTTATCTTTCAAATAATTGCCGATTCACATTTTTAGCGATGACTATGCGAAAGAAATAAGTATTGTAAAGGGAACTCTCAAAAAGTGACCACTTTTAAAAGTAGGTATATTTATAGTTGGACAAGTTAGGTTGGGAGAAAATACTATTTCATTATTCTTTATATTCTTATTATATTAAAGCTCAATTCTAGCGCAGACTTTTGCCGCGAAAGACGTGACAGTTCCACAGTGCCTGCCAAACTGTACGCGAGCAGTTAAACCCAGTAACTTCATAACAAAACTCCGAGAGCCGACGACGTTTGGCGTTGCATGTTGGGAGGAAATTGAAAAGCGGTGTGGACTTAAAAAAATGTGACGTCATTTTGGAATATCGAACGAGAGACGCAATTGTTCGAGATAAACGGTACGAATAAATTATGCCTTCAAAGCGCCGTGTTGTATAACTGATGTTAACGTTATGGAGCGGGAGAGCAGACGGGGCTCGTTGTTTATTGACCCTCACACACTGTGAATAATTTAGGCGAAAGAATAAAGTTGAAAATTATTAAATTTACATTCGGGTATATGTTCGCTTTATCCAAAAACGTCTTCAACAAAAAAGCTCTTCAAATCAATACATTTTGTTTTATCTTACATCTCATCCATTACATTTTGTATTAACAACGATGAAACGCGGAATTTACTGGTAGAAAAAAGGGCTTTACTGGAATTTATCGCATTGCAAACACGAAAAATTTCCATACACTAAACATTAAAAATCCCGCCGAGTTTAATCATACCCAAAAAAAATTTGGAGCGCAAAAAAATTTTCGCGTTCAAGACGCGCCCTAAAAAAACTGCACAGATAATATCCAGCGAACCCTCCGCCGCGACGCGTGCTAACTGGGAAGTGGCGGACCCGAATAATTTTCCAATTATATTTCCCGTCCAATTTTCCAAGGTGTCGCCCGCGGCGCTCGTCAAATGCAGCCCCGCGTTATAATGGCCGCGGGACCCTCGCCGAACGCCTATTTGTTATGTTCCGCTGCAGAAGTCAGGTGCGCCAGGGCAGCAGACGCCCGTCTCCCGTCCGAATACGGGAGCAACAGGCAACACCAACCTCAATTTGCCGCTCGGACGGGTTTTCCGGTGCCGTGGGCTTTATGCGACTCGTGTGTTAAACGATGTATGTTTATAAGGTATTAAGTTTCAGAAGTAGTGCCTTAATGCGTGCGGAACGTGATGCAACCATAATGGAACGGGATCAAAGTTTGAATGCTTAGGTTTCCAGTCAGTTCTCGTTCAAAACGGGACTTTGCCTTCAAAGTAAAATTACTTAAAAGTGATTTATGTTTTGATTAAGAAGACACTTGTTTGCATTTAAACAGCTTGGCTGTATTGTTTCACTAGATTTTTACGTAAGCAAAAAAAAAAGCAACCAAAGAAAAATTGAAGTGATATTCTTTGCAACTTAGCAATGTCCGTTACCTTACAGTATTAGGGCCAGGCAACGGTCTTCGCCGTTGTACGAATGGGTAGGTCGTGGATGGTGGTCGTGGTGGTCGTAGGGTAGGACGAAGTACCGTGACATCACAAAAGACCGGCGTGAAGTGGAGGTGTTATATATACTTTTGCGTATCGTCTGATGTGTGAGGTAAGCGGGACCAGCTTTATTAAACGGTGGCTACGAATCTACAACCCTACAGGTGTTGCAAATGTCCAGGGGGGACTTCTTAAGATCAAGTGAACCGCCGGCTCACTTTTCATCTAAATCTTACATAATAAGTTCAAGTTCAAAATCTATAAGTTATAAATAACTCACGCAATAAGTTCGAAGAACTTGAAACCTGCCACAAACTTTGATCAATAGAAGGAATTATGTCATAATAATCAACAACCCAAAACATGTTTGCATAGGTTTTCCTTTCATCCCATTAGGAATACGAAGATAAAAAAGGCAATATTTTAATTGATGGTGGTTTGAAGCAGGAAAATACAACGCTACAATTCCGCCAGCACCTAAGCGTAGTAAGCATAAACCAGTCCTTAATCCTTTCGCATTGTCACCCTTCATGAATACTCAAGAGAAACACATCCTTTTGATGCACAATAAAGCCCGGAGGAATATTACAAATGTTGACTGCATAAGTAATGTTCACCCATTAGAGGGCAGAAGTTAAAACAACTTCATTCAAATCGTAACATCCAGTGATAACGCCTGCAAGGCAAACACATATAGACGCAATGATTCAAATATTTTGTTTCGTTTCTGTTGGAACTTCTGAATAAAAAGACTCGTAAAATAATAATATAAATATACATAAAATAATAATATAATATAAATATACATAAAACACTCTCTTCATCAATAGCTATATTATGAAAAAAATATCAGGTCAATGCATCGGCTAGTTTTTTACTTTTGTGGACACAAACATATGGTAGCTACATTTTTATTTTTATATGTATACAAATTGAATGGCCACCAGAAACAATTTTATTTAGAGTTATTAATTTACTTAAAACCATATTAGTAAGTGATACATTCGGAATGAACCAAGTAGGTGATTGAGTACACGATCGTATTTCGGAATTAAATGAACGAGGCATTATTGCGAATATTTATTTTGATGGTACGAAAATATTATTCCATTGTCGCTTTTACACGCCGACTACGATCTCCCCTTTACCAATTTATATCACTTGGATCGCCCTGCGGTCTTCTGCGCCCCCGGTACTCTCAATTTGTATTAAAACCATTTTCACGGGATTATATCCCACCTAGGGGTTGTAGAATGGCCTACATAAATAAGCACTGGGTGTTTTTCGAACAGAATTTACTTAATTTTCAATGGTTAAGTATATAAAAATAACATATTTTGAAATTAAGAGAGAGATTGATAATGTCTATGTTTAATTATTCTTTCTTGATATAAACTAATGAAATATGTCATCATCACCATCATTTCAACTGTTTCTATGGCCTAACATAGGCCTCCTTCATAAAATACCTCTGATAATTAATGAAAACATACCCTTGATAGTTGTAATGTAAAATTTATCTTAGACTACTTTTGGCATTAACGTAGAAAAATTGTAAAACATGTAGACGACAAAGTATCACTTTTCTTATATTTATCAAAACGGAACATTAATATCGGAATTTTCCATAGATCGCTAATTGCAATAATTTTCTGGAGCGAGTAATCAGAATTAATTGACACGAGCAAGTGTTACTACGAGTAGATACGAAACGGAGTATTGAACAGTGGAATGATGGCGACAGATAATAACTGACAATTACGTTCAATAACTAAACCGTTGCTTTACGGAATATCAGAAATTTATTCAGAAATCAAATTCAAAGTATCTAATACTCTCTGCCTAATAGTCCAATCATAATTATTGAAATTATTTAATGTTTGGGATTTATTTAAATTGCGTATTAGTTAAAAAAACTTTATGTCACTGGACCCGGTTAAAGTATTAAAAATATTGAGAATCAAAATCAAAATTAAAGGTCGTAAAATTCTTCCAATAAATTTATTTATAAATATGTATTTGCATCAATAAAAGAACTTATTTAATTTAATTTTTATATTAGCAGCGGTTTTCGCCTCATTTATGGAAACCACATGTCGCATAGTCGGTTAAGAATGTAAATTTTGTGTGATTCACATTTACTCGTCCCGTGCTATTATGAAACACTTGCTGCGCTAACTATTTCATCATTATATTATTTTGAATATATTTTTTTTCAATATTTCGCTTGAAAAAAGATCGCACGATCTTTTAAAAGTACTACATTAAAATAGCTCTTATAAAATAATATATAATGATCGGTTTCATGCGCTGCCGCAAAACTGAAATTCAAACAGAATAAATTAATTAAACAAAGGTCCGGAATATTGAAACATCCGCACAAATGAAATTCATTAAGTTCAAATTATGAATACATTATTAAATTTTTTTATTTTTTTATTTTAACCGAATATAACGAAACTTATTCTAAGAACAAGATGTGGGTAAGGAAGCTTGTTATAATGACCACGAGTCTTTATAAAAGTAAAGTTTCAGCCCGTATAATGTATGTCCCACTGCTGGGTAAAGGCCTGCTCCGCATAGAGTATTAGGGCATAGTCCACCAACCGACCTCACTGCGGATTGGTAGACTTCACATATTTTGGAATTGTTTTTCTGTTATTATTTTGAAAATATGCAGGTTTCCTCACGACGTCTAACTTCACCGCCGAGCACATGATAAGTCTACACTTAAAATCTACAATTTCCTTGGTGCTGGCACCGGGATTTCAACAAAGGCTGCTCGATTATATATTAACTATTAGAACTATCAAACATAATCGTAAGAGACCTTATACACTAAAAAACATAAAAGCGTTAAAATGGAATCCACGTCGTAACGTCTAAGGCCAAAGGAATGAAAAGCCTCATTAGTAATCCCCAGGCATGCTTTGAATAAATTCTAATAAAGTTAATCGCAAAAGGACACTGAGCCCCCTCTTTTTAATTTTGTTCTCTGAATAGGCACGAGGCAAGAGTATGCTACCTTAATTTCTTTTTAATAGGCCACCAATTATATATTTTTATCTATGCTCATTAATAAATAATAGTATAATAACATTTTCCGACGTATATTTACATAACGTTCTCTAGTCCCAAACTAAGCAACGCTTTTACTATGGGTACTAGAAAACTGATAAACATACTTTTCCTTTGTAAATAAATAGATAGTATAAATAATATATAACCACCCAGACACTGGAAAAATCGAACCCACACCCTGCGGTACAAGAGGCAGTTTCACTACTCCCCACGCCAATCGGGTCGACAAAAATTTGTCACTGTCTTTATAATAATTCAATCTTGCATTAACTTAAGAATCAGAGCTATCAGCATGGACGCACGGCTTTCAAACCCGATGGAACCGCTAACACTATCTAAATAACATAAACCTTATTTTGTGTCAAATGTGATAAGCGAGGAGCCTATCATCGAACATTCACCCCAAAAATAGGTAAAAAATTCAAACTTCAAAGGAGAAGAGGCGTTCTCAGGCTTTGAAGACTACTTAATTTTAGACGTTCATTCAATTTTTCAACATCTAGAACACGCTTCTTAGAATTAAGGCATGAATTTTGCGAGAGCCAACCAAATCTTAAATTAATAGGTAATAGGTAATAGATAACGAGACGAATCCTACTTTCTTTTGTTTAGGTGTCTATTATGTATTATTAAGGAATATTCACTTCACAAACTTAATACGCTTTAAAACTATGTGGCAAGTCGACCATCCTAGGACCTGGCTCCAATGAAGTCATGTGCTAAATGGCGAAGCTGGTCGTATTCCCAGTCGTGCACCGTGTCACGTATCGATTCCGTAATGAAGTGACACGACATCTCTGCACGCGCTGTCACGTCGTGAAACTTCTGAGTAATTGTGTTGCACGCCCGGGAAACCTCTGCGAATATAAAGAGGGACTCCGACACTTCCTCACGTAGACGCCCCCACCGACTGCTGCGCATTGTAAAAGTTCAACAAAGGAATATGATGAAGGTGCGACTTGAGTTTTTATTGAGAGTCACTTGTTTGCTTCTCGCCTTTTGAAACTTAGTATGCTCAAGCGTCTTCCGTGATTACCTTTTTGATCTTTTTCTCGCATCGTATTGCTGCTTCTTTAATTTCATTTACATATTTAAGTTTACGCCTATCTTTTTGTGATTTTTTGTGAAATGATAAGGGCTAGGTAAATTAAGAAAGTAAACCATTGGATTGTCAACTATGGTATGCCAAATGCTTGTTTGAAAAAAAAAAATTTAACATTAGTCTATTATTCTATTCCAAAAATGAATATTACAGAAGTGGACGGGCATGTAATCTAAACTGTATTCAAATGACCTCGGCAGTATCAGGAGTACAAAACAATTGAGCAAGGCAAGTAATAGGCGCAAATGGTCTCTGTCTGTTCTTGTAACAATTGTTCATTCACCACTTTATAAAGTAACAGTATCGTAGAAATATGAATTACGTACGATTTATTTCAAGGCCGAATCATTTTATGTACATCGAAGCAGTGCAACGCCATGTTCGAATCTTGATTTAAAAAATTATTTTCATTGATATTCGCCAAAAAAAAGGTAGTTAAATGCATACGTAATCCCATTGAAATGTAAACAATCTTGTACATCGGTTTTACCATGTAAATTATAACACAGTTATTGATTGTGTGACTTTTAATATTAATACACTCCATGTGAGATTAAATGTGATAGCTATAATATCATTTTAATGGGATAAGATTCGTAAAAAAATCCAACCGAGACAGAAAATAAAGGTAGAGGGAATTATCAAATAATTCTAATTATTGACATGATGTGTTCAGTGAAACGCACGTACAAATATGTACCCATTTGATATCCGAGAGTTATTATAGTTTAGTTTATGGTGATTGTAAATCACCTAGGTCAGATTATTATCTTTAACACTGAATTCTGTAGAAAGAAACTTCAAATAGAAAACGGAATTAGGAAAAGTTATATGTCTTACGTTGTTAGTTTATAAACAACAAAATTGTGATAGTGTCACAGTGTCCAGGTTTATGTTGGGCAAACTATATGTGATGTTAGTAGTACAGTAACACTAGTTAACAGTGGGGTTCTAATACCCTCTGTATAGAGGAGGCCTTAGCTCAACAGTGACATATAATATAAAGGCTGTTAGTTTAATATATTAACGATACGATCTTATTAGAACGAAGTTCCTTTAAGCTCATTACTGACACCGCGATAGAGCTAAGGCGAAAAAAGCGTTAGACTTTGAACGTCACGAAACTCCAACCCTTTTACTATATTTAATTTAATTTTGACCTCACAGTGAAATATTTAAAGTTCAAGTTTCTGATACATGTAATAATAATCAATTTTCATACTATTAATATTTGTACAAAAAGTACGAAAAGATCCTACAAATTTTAATGTTTAACCTTAAGTGCAGAAATAAGCACTATAAAAAAAAATGTGTGTGTGTACTAGCGTACACTCGTAAGAAGTGAAACTTTTTTATGACGTTATTTTTCAAAAAATAATTTACTATATGCAACTTTACAGAAATTGGTTAAATAAAGTTAACTTAGATAAAGTTTAATAAAAGGCTTTTATTATCATAGACATAAATACAAATTCTACAATTATTTCATTTTAGCTTTGTATAATATTTAGTTTCTTATTTGTAATACATAGGTGGCGTTAGTAGTAAATTAAAACACACTATGGTTTGACCGTTGTAATTAGTATGAGGGTCCGCAAAAATAGTCAGCCAGTGGGGTGAATTAAATAGCGTGACGGCCCGAGCCGAGGTTCCTTCGGGAGCCCTCGAGCTTAGTCACCATAACGCGTAATAGTAAATACGCGAGGTTCAGGCTAGGCGCCTCGAGCGCCCGGCCACCTCAAGTCCGTCGGATCTGTGAAGGCCCCTGAGGCCAACAGTGGCTCATCCAGCCCAAACTCAGCCAGTGACAGAGGTTCAGGCCTCAGAGGTTCAGGCTAGGCGCCTCGTGCGCCCGGCCACCTCAAGTCCGTCGGATCTGTAAAGGCCCCTAAGGCCAAAAGTGGCTCATCCAGCCCAAAAAAAAAAAAATCTGCCAGTGAGTAGAAGGCAGACATTCGACTCGCGCGCGAGTGTTGTGAGTGAAGTTTTTTTGGAAAACCGAACTTGCGGGACGTTGGATCGACGTCGCAACCGCAAGTTCCAGGAGCCGATCGAGGCTTCGAAGAGCATCATCATCGGTCAGCTTCAGATTGTGTCTTCGGTGGAAGGCGCAGTCAGGTCACGGTGGGCGGTGCCTGCCTTTGGAGAAGAGGAAGTCTCTACAGTGGTCGTGCTCTGAAGTATTAGAGCTAGCACTGTCATTACTACAAATATTATTATTGAATTTCATTAATTGTAATAGAATTATTACTATCATTGATGTCGTTATTATATATTTGTGTTATTAATGGCTTATGGTAACTGAAATACGAAATATATTGTTTACATTTTAGAATTAGAATTAAAATAAACCCTTTGATTTTGCTGATCACTTTAATATAACATATATAACACTAGATGGCGTTAGAGGAACATTTTAAGATAAGAAAAAGATGGCGCGTAACGCAAAAATGTTACACTAAATTTTTTTTCCAACCCCGATAAAGAAGTTTCACTTCAATAATTTTCATATTGTCAATATCAAATATATATGAATAGTCTATTGTCAAAATAGTTTCACGGAGTACAGACTATCGGCAAATGATTATAAGACGTCACAAAGGAACTTCGTTCCAACAGGGCGTCCCACGACACATCTCGATTTCTTTCAATTACTTGCTACAACTTTTTCTTGATATACATGACACATTTATAAAACATTTATACATTAATCATATCTGCGATGCCTAACGTATTTACGAAATACGAAACTTCAATTTAAAATAGCTATTTTTCCGGGTAAGTTTGGGTAAAAGGTCTAATACAAACTAATGAATCAATAGTAGAAATTAACGGAAACTCAATAAAGGCAAAATGCATAGCTAAAGCAATGGTAACATATTCGTTAACTTAGAGCAGTCTGCTATGAGATGAGATAATCTCTAATTCACCGCGCCCTTCAATCGATACACACGTTAACGAGCGACAGCCAGAATCCAACAAGCCCATATGTCGCGGCAGGTCTCGGCTCAGGTGGCGCATCAACGTGCCTAATTTGTCACACAAGACTGCTCCCACCGCCGTCGAAACCCTTCAGAACATATTCTAAGCACACAGTACATATGTACTGAATGAATAATAATAAAATAAATAAATAAACTTTCGACTGATTCTTTTTTATTTGAAAGCTGGTGCTTCTCAGGTGGTCCCATATTAATTTGATCGGTATTGGATCTGAGGAGAGTCTTAGGGAACTCCTGAAATCAATTATAAAATGAATACATAGCGAGATATTTGAAGTCGGTTTTGTTTTTCGTATTAACAAAATCGACTTGTTTCAATTACAGTACCTGTGTAATGATGCTTCAATTTATAAATTGATTTCGAAATGGTTTTCTTTTATAATTGCTGATAAACTAGGCGACATATATCTTTTGTTCCCATACAATATTATATATGGATATTTAGTCTAGTGTCTAGCTTGGTCAACACACTAAGTTAGTAGGAGCCTATATTTACTCTTTGCTATAACGGCATTGACATTGTGCTCAAATGGGAAATGATGCCAAGTTGTCCTTGCTGTATACAAACTGAAAGGTGAATCTTTGAACATTTCTTATAGTACTAGCTGTAACATAACGTGTTCAGTGTTGTGTGCAAGCAATAGATTAATCATATTCACAAACATATCTGCTTTGTAGAGACAATTATTATAGTTTTGGTTGCAATGCATTATGCATTTAAAAATGAATACGTTTAATACCCGTCAATAGTAGCGATTTCATTAAATTTTCACAATCACCATTATCATCACGACACGAAATTGATTCTCGCACAAAAGCAAACAATATGCACATGAATGAAAAATGAGTCGACAGACGGTGCCAGTTCCTGTAATTATTTCCGATCCGAAACTCCATCCGAATATACAAATCCAGTGAAGATTTTAAAATGGCTTTCATTTTGTATTCGAATTTATTGAAAAATAATAGCGATCATTAAACTGCACCATATTTTAAATATTAATGTTCCTTTATTGTTCATATTGATATTTTTATTCATCACGGACTATAAAACTAGGCGCACTGCAAAACTAAGCATATTTTGCCAGGATACCAACGCTGTACTATACGAATTAACGTGTTACATTTTTATATTTATCATCAACATTACAGCCTATAGTGATGTAAGTGGCTGCTACGTATCACGGTTCTAAGCCATATGCATCGACATATTTATAGGGAATCGCACAGAGAAGGGATCAGATGAAGTAATTTTAGCCCAGGAAGTTCCCACTGTTCCGTAGCGACATTGCTCACGAAATTCATCTGAGCGATGTCGATTTTTTGTCGCATCACTTCCGCTGTCAAGACTCCCACAAGCTGCGTCTTATACAGAGTCGTTTAAAACTTTAAGTGTTGACAAATAGAGAGAACATGAAAGTTTCAAGTTGAACGTCGAAGGATTTAATAGAGTTTTCTTGATGCTTCCTATGTTAAGCACCTACGTTATGTTATTTTTATAGCATGTGTAAGAATTTTTTTAACATTAATTTTATATTTTTTGTGCCAGTCTCTGCACTCAAAATGAAACGTTGAATTGTATCGATTTTAGCGCCATGAGGTCATTGGCGGCTTATCTTAGTTGGTAAAGCGTCTGGATGCGAAAGCAGAAGACACAGGTTCGAACCCCACCGCCGAAAGTTTTTGTTCATTTATCTACAAAAGTTTTCAATTTAATGTGTCAGGATGTTTTGAAAGTTAACTTTTTGTATTATTTAACTTAAATATTTTAAATTGATTTATTTAAAAGTAATATTGATTAACAGAATATGTAAAGA